TTGAACCACCAGCCTTCTGGTTAGCAGTCAAATGCCCTAGGGACTACAACACCAGAGCTCCCACCGTATAACTAGATCACCCAAATCATCTATGCAAACGCTATTTCCTAGCCATAGGCTTCCTTAGTTGGTCTAGTAGGACTTAATCTTTCCTTCCTTGGCTTCCCTATAAAATGCATTTGTATCATAATTATTTGGGTACATTTCCTCTCTGTTAGAATGTAACACCTTGAAAACAGACCACAGCTCTCCTGAGCATACTGGGCATGGAACACTCTTCACTGTTGCCATTCATCCTTTTCCCCTAAAGTTTTGACTATTAGCAAACCTAATTTTCTGGAGACAGAAACTTATGTAACAAATGGATTTAAGTACTTGTCATTCCTTGCTAAATATTCTCTAACACAATCCACAACTAGGGGAGAGGATCACTTAATTTTTAACTATTGGCCAAGGACACCTTTTAAGATTTGTTTAAAACATCTTTTAAGCCTTAAAAGCTTGCTTTAATTATCTCATTCAAAAGGCTCATGGTGCTTTCTACAGTAGCATAATTTCTACATATGTCAAATCTAACCTAACCATAACTTGCCCATCTGCTGATTTTAATAAAATCCTAGGGATGATAAACCACAATATGCTTGCTTGATTCACCCTACATTATTTATGTAAAATAGTCATTTTAACATTACATTGTAATGCAAAGCTTTCTGGCTTAGATTTGTGCCCTCTTTTTCCTCTGGATAAAGTGCCACCAAACAGTCTCCAGAACAGAATTTCAAATTCCCATGGAATCCTGACTTTCTGGAGCCAATGAAGCCAGATGATCCCAGAAAGTATTACCCTGAGGATATCTGTAAACCTTGGACCACAACTACCCCAACATCATCTTTAAACCAAATAATAGTTTTAGCTTAATTAGTAAAGAATGTCTGCATTGAACATTATTAAAAAAACAAACAAACTCACTGCTGTTGAGTCGATTTGACTCATAGTGACCCCTCCTTGGGTTTCCAAGCCGGTATCTCTATGGAAATAGATTGCTTAGTCTTCCTTCTGAGGAGTGGCTGGTGGGGTTTGAACCACCAGCCTTCTGGTTAGCAGTCAAATGCCTTAGGCAC